GTAATTAGCCTTCCTTATTATACCTTACAGAGGATTTTGAAACTTCATATTTCTATGCATCTTAGCAAACTATTCAACTATAATTAATGGAGTTATAATAGATTAGAATAGTACATGTCTTTGTCAGTGGTACTTTTTAAAATATAGGATCTTCTTTTTTTTTTTTTTTCATTGACTTCTTACCCATTTGTTTAAGCTAGCAATTTTAAGTTTAAGATATAAGACAAGAGGAAAATTCAAATACGTTTTAGCCCAGGTATTTATGAAAAACAAAAACACTGAAGGGCTATTTATGCCTAGGTTTAATGTTAGTCTGAATTGACTTAATGACACACAACACTACCAACATCATAGATTAATTTGTTTTCAGAAAGATTTAATGCAACTTACACGGTATATATGGAACAGTAAAAAGGGAGAGAGAAGAAATCATCTTAAAGGGGAAAATCAGTGTAGGATAAAAGGGTAACCCTTAAGTTAAAGCATATGTAGTCATGAAGTTGCTCATGTTTTTGAGAGATGAGTCACAAGGAGAACTCAGCATACCCATAAGATTAAGGCAACACAAAACAGATGTTCAGTGGAAGCATAACAACTTCTTGTATTTATATCAGGTTAGATTCTGTGATCTGTCAATTTGTTTACTGTTCTGTGCCCTGTATTTTTTTCTACGTAACCACCAGTCAAAACCCCAGTCTTGGGTGAATCCAAGTTTTGGTTGGCTTTGCACATGTTATTTTGAGGAAGTCATACAACCCAACCAGTTGGTAATATTTCATTTCAACTCGTTTCTCAACATTGCCCCACATCCATCTTTTTTCCTTGTCTTCTCAAACTGCCCCTTCATTCTCCTCACAATTCAGACTCCTTCCCTTGCTCCTTCATTCTTGCTTACCAGAAAAATTGTTGTTATTGTTGTTTTGTGACATCGAGTCAGACTCAACTCATAGCGACCCCTCCTTGGGTTTCCGAGGCAGTATCACTATGGAAGTAGATTGCCCAACCTTCCTTCCGAGGAGTGACTGGTGGGTTTGAACCACCAGCTTCTTGGTTAGCAGTTAGAGTCTTTCAAATGGGAAGCCCCGCATTTCCATCTAAGAAATCTGCTACCATTTACATGTGTGTTCTTGGCCTGCTTTCGAGTTAACAGTGGAAGAGATGACTGTCTTACACATGTTCTACCTGTGTTCAACTCTTTCATTTCCTTTTAACAGGGAAGAATTTTTAAACTGCCTGTGCTTATTCCTTCTTTTTTTAATAGACCTTTTTTTAAGAGCCATTGAGGTTCACAGAAAATTTGTGCTGACATTAGAGTTCCCATGTACCCTCTCTGCCCCCTGCACACTGTTTATCCTGTTATTAACTTCTTGTACTCCTATGTACATTTGTTACACTTGATTAACCAGTATTCACACATTGTTATTGACTACAGTCCATAGTTTACATTAAGGTTCACTCTGTGTTATAATCTCCTATGGGTTTTGACAAATACATGTCATGTGTCCACCATTCCACCATTGCAGTATCACACAGAATAATTTGCCCTAAAAATGACTTGTGTCTGTGCTCTACTATTCCCACTTTTTTTAGCATCTCCTCTCACTCTTTCAGGGCTCTGGTGCCGTGGTGCCTAAGGCATTTGACTGCTAACCAGAAGGTTGGTGGTTCAAACCCGCCAGCCACTCCATGGAGGGAAAGCTGGGCAAGCTATGTCTGTAAAGATTTACTGCCTCAGAATCCCAAAGGAGATTGCTAGGAGTCAGAGTAGACTCAATGGCAGTGAGTGAACTCACTCTTTCTGTTTCTTTTTTTTTTTTTTTTGTCTTTTCATTCTTCACTAAGTAAGTAACAGTATGTGGTGGAGTATGGGATAAAAACCAAACTCATTGCTGTAGTGTCAATTCAGATTCATAGTGACCCTATGAGACAGGCTAGAACTGCCCCATGGGGTTTCTAATGCTGTAAATCTTTATGAAAGCAGACTGGCACATCTTTCTCCCACAGGGTGGCTGATGGGTTTGAACTGCCAACCTTTGGTTAGCAGTTGAGCAATTATTTATAGCACCACTAGAGCTTCTATGTGTGTGTGGGATGTTGTTGTTGTTGTTATGTGCCATCGAGTCAGACCCGACTCATAGCGACCCCTCCTTGGGTTTCCAAGGCAGTATCACTACGGAAGTAGATTGCCCCATCTTCCTTCCGAGGAGTGGCTGGTGGGTTTGAAACCTCCAGCCTTCTGGTTAGCTGTCAAGTGCCTTAGCCACTATGCCACCAGAGCTCCCGTGTGTGTGGGATAGTCAATACAAATTGCCAGGCCCTGGGGCCCAGAAAGGCATCTTGGGTGAAATCTGTGTAAAGATATTTAGTGAGTTTCAGACTTGGTTAAATGGTCAAAGAAATTTTTCACTGGGGTTCAAGTTATCTGTGTCCCTACCCCACCCTCTCTTCAAGCTGTGCTTTCAAAGTTCCTCACTAACCTGCCTTCATCAGATGCACTTTCTAGTCTTCATCTATCTTGACCTCTTAGCAACAAGACAGTTGACCATGTTTGTATTACTGAAACATCATTTTCCCTCACCCTCTTTGACACCATTATCTTGATATCCCCCCGTTCCCATTGCCTGGCTTATGCTTCTGTCTCAGTTGGTAATACCTCCTCTTCTTTCATTCCTTAAACTGGTGTTCCTCAAGATTTTATATTAAGCTTTCCAATATTTACTGTACATTGTTTTCTTTAGAATATTTGCTCGAAACTCTAAAGAGCTACAAATGAACTTTGAGTAAAAGTCATTTAGAAGATGTGGACTGCTTACATATTCAGATGAAGTTATCTATACAATATTAAAGGTCAAAGGGACCACAGTTTTGTACAGGACAATGAGAAACTGAGGCCCAAGTGGTTTAAGGAATTCTCCAGGAATCACATCACTAGTGAAAGGCTGAACCAGAACTCAAACCTGAATTTTACTTTGATGCTTTTCTCATTATTATGTTTTCATTTTTCCCAAGTTCAATTTCATGTTGCAGTCACTGGTTATTTCTTTTTCAAATTTATTGGTGCTTTTTTCTTTAAAACCAAAAACCAAACTCACTGCTTTTGAGTTGATTGAACTCATAGCGACCCCTCCTTGGGTTTCCAAGGTGGTATCTGTATGGAAGTAGATTTCCCAGTCTTCCTTCTGAGGAGTGGCTAGTGGGTTTGAACCGCCAGCCTTCTGGTTAGCAGTCAAGTGCCTTAGGCACTATGCTAAAAGTGATCCTTATTATCTTCAAATTTGTCTGCACCAGGTAGTTCATTTGCAGAGGGTAGCACTTCTCTCTAAGTGGGTTTAGAATGCCTGTGCTGTTGTTAGGTGCTGTCAAGTCAGTCCCACTCATAGCAACCAACAGTACAGCAGAACGAAACTGCCTGGTCCTGCGCCATCCTCCCACTTGTTGCTATCCTGAGCCCATTGTTGGAGCCACTGTGTCAGTCTGTCTCAGTGAGGATCTTCCTCTTTTTTGTTGACCTACTTTATTAAGCATGATATCCTTCTCCAGGGACAGTCCATCTTGACAGCATGACCAAAGTAGAAGAGGCAAAGTCTTGCCACTCTTGCTTCTAAGCAGCATATCAGCTGTACTTGATTCAAGACAGATTTGTTTGTTCTTCTGGCAGTCCATAGTACATTCAGTACTCTTCACCAGCAACACAGTTCACATGCATTACTTCTTCTGTGTTCACTGTCTGGCTCTCACATTCATATAAGGCTATGGAAGATACCATGGATTGGGTCAGGTGCACCTTAGTCTTCAAAGTGACATCTTTGCTCGTTAGCCCTTTAAGAGTCTTTTGCAGCAGATTTGCCCAATGCAATATATATCATTTGATTTCTTGACTGCTGAGCCCATGGAGATTGACTGTGTATCTAAGTAAAATAAAATCCTTAATAACTTCAATCTTTTCTTCCTTTATTGTGATGTTTCTAATTGGTCCAATTGTGAGGATTTTTGTTTTCTTTATGTTGAGGTGTAATTAATACTGAAGGATGTTGTCTTTGATTTTCATCCGTAAATGCTTCAAGTCTCCTTCACTTTCAGCAAGCAAAGTTAAGTAAGTCATCTGCATATCACAGATTGTTTATGAGTCTTCCTCTAATCCTGCTTCTGCATTCTTCTTCATATAGTCCAGCTTCTCAGATGAGTTCTGGGATTATTTCACAGATTGAATGAGTATGGTGAAAGGATACAACCCTGATGCACAACGGTCCTGATTTTAAACTACACAATATCCCCTTGTTCTGTTTGAATGACTGCCTCTTGGTCTTTGTGCAGGTTCTTCATGAGTACAATGAAATGTTCTGGAATTCCCATTCTTTACGATGTTATCCATAATTTGTTATGATCCACACAGTTGAATGCCTTTGCGTAGTCAGTAAAACACAAGTGAATATCTTTCTGTTATACTTTGCTTTCATCCAAGATTCATCTGACATCAGCAACAATATCTCTTGTTCCCCATCCTCTTCTGAAAGTGTCATGAATTTCTGGATGTTCACTGTCAATATACTCCTGCAATGCAACTAGTTTTGAATTAGCTTCAGCATAATTTTATTTACATGTGATATTAATGATAGTGTTTGATAATTTGTGCACACATATAATACTGCATTAATTACATAAATTAATTAAACTTTACCATCTATTATCTCTATTGTAGACATTTCTTATTCCTTGAATAAAACTTTCTGGTATAAGGGGACAGCTTGTATGAAGCAGGTATAATTTATATGTCCTAAAAGGGATATATGTTTGCTTTAAATTACTAGTCCCAAATAATGGTTGCCCTCCACCTCCAAGAGGAGCAGCCCAGGAAAGAATAGGTGTATAAACTGCTTACCTGACAGTATTTGAGCAGTTCCTGTTTAAAACATTTCTAAGCCAAATATTTACTGACTTTAGTTTTTTCTTTTTTTCTGTATAAAATATTGCTAACTATAATGTCTTATTTTTGTTCACAGATTATTATAAGTATAGGCCTCATGTTTTATGTAGTTCATCGAGCTCAAGTGGAATTGAATGCAGCTATTGTAGCTTGTGAAATGGAACTGAAAACCTCTCTGGTTAAAGGCAATCAACCAAATACCAGTGGCTCTTCATTCTACAACAAGAGGACCCTAACATTTTCTGGAGGTGGCATCAATATCGTATGATTCTAATGAAACATATGGTTTTCAAGAGCCTAGCATGCTATCCCAGGTCTAGCAATCACTTGACTGGTGGGCAGAGAGACGAGTTCTAATTGTATTACGGCACAGACAAAACTGACCAATTTTTAAATTGCACAATTTTTTTAAAGCAAGAGTCATTTTCTGGATATGAAAATGTAGATGTAGATGCAATTTTGGCTGCACCTCTTTATCATTTATCATGCCTGTAATGGCCTATAGGTCTGCACTTTAGTGTTTTTTAATTGTTTTATTTCTGGGTACTTATGAACAGAGAAATAACCCAAATATTTTTCTGCTTAGTGTCTTTATTTATAAAGTCCATTAATAGTTTTATGCATCTTTCCTACTTATTAAGAGGAGTGAAAGTATGCAGTTTTAAGTACATGCTGTTATTGGATGTTCCTTTGGTAGTCTTTCTGGACAGGTAAACAATAGTTCTTGTTTCGTTTTATTGTTTTAATTGGGACCACTTTGCTTCCCTTTTCCTTCCTAGTTAGAAAACGCATTAACTTTTGGTTGAATGTATTTTTGCAAGTCATCAATGTTGTTGCAGGGCCATTTATGCATATTCACATGCTTATATCCTACATTGTGGGACTGAAGTGCTCTTACGATGCCTTTTTATTTTCACTGTGTAATATGCAAAGCAAAAGGGAAATTATTTAATGGGTGGTAGCTCAAATTAGAGCTCACGTTCTAATTCTGTTATTTTGGCTTTACTCTCGTTAGGTCTTTCATCAAAGGGCTGTCCCATTGTAATCTTACAAAAAAACATTTTATTAAAATGAACTTTTCTTCCTTTTTATATTCATAATTAGGCTTTGGAATAAAGATATTAGTCCTTTAAAATGGTGGACTTATTATCATTGAAGGTGTCACTCAGGTGGCTTTGTTTGATCAAAACACTTTTTTAAAAAATCAAGCTTTAAAATCATGTTTATAATTCCATTGAAGTACATATGTATTTGTCCCCATAGTCTTCAGCTTTAACGCTATAAATATGTTAACTTAATACCCAAGTTTGTGTTATTTGCCCTACTACCGAGTAGGTTTATTTTGTTTTTCAATATTTGTTTTTCTCTGATAAGACTCAGGAATTCTGAAATGTGAAATTAAGTGTCTCAATTCTTTGACTCTTGGAGCATGAATTGAGTGTATTTATTAATAGCACTTATAAGTACATAAGTACAGAATACAATAATTTGGCATATGATTCATATATATATTTACTTATCACCTTATATTTTTAAAATAGTTTAATTGTGAACTTTAGATATCTTTTTTTTGCTATGAAAGTTCCAACTTATCAGAGACTTCCCATTTGCCTTTTCATTGGGGTAAAGTTTTTGCCCTGATTTACTAAACTACAAGAGAATTCTGTAGAAACAGATTATTCTAGTCTCATACTACAGAGCATTTATCACTGTAACGCATAATTTCTTTGCCCACTTGCAGGTATAAGTGTTCATTGTTTTCCTTTCCTTCATAATCTATATGTTTTCCCACCTTGGAATAATTGAAGTGTGTTTATATGTCCACACCAAGCCCTCAGTACGAATACTGTGAGAGATACCTGGGTCTACAGTGCTTAATTGGCCTCCAAATCCTTCCTTGTAGTATGCGTAGAAAAAAAAATATATAGTATTGGAATATTATTTTTCTTTGAATCTTAAGTACTTTTTTAAAAACTGATTTGTTTAGTAATTCCAATGAACAATATATTTGATTTATTCTTTTCAGTCTAATTTCACATGTTTTTGTGCTTTTTGTTAAAGGAATCATTAAGATCATTTGTTTTCTCATTGCTTTACACTTCATGTATTTTGAAGTGCATTTCTTTCCTTAGCATTTTATAACTTGAATAATTCCACCAAATGCATACCATTTAAGTAGTTTGTAATGAGTTCTTCCAGTTGTTAAACTTTGCTCAGTACTTGTAATAAATATCTGAAGGTAAACGTGAAATAATTTTCTCTGTATTCTGCCAATCATAATTTTATATAATAAAATCATACGTTTTTCCTTAAAGAAAAATAGTATGGATTGACTGTTTCTAAAATACTTAATCTATAGCTACAGCCTTCATTTTCTTCAACATATCCAGCCTCAAGTAAACAACAATCCGTTATAGCCGTGCTATTTGATAGTTGAGTTTGGTTGCTGGGTTCTCAGATGGTGCTTACTGTAAATTGTGCAAAGCATTGCCATGCCCTATGTACTCCGTTTTCAGCCCTCCATCAGAGAGCTTAGGGCAGCAGCAGCTTTCTAGAAGATTCCTCTATGTTGCCCAAATACTGCCTCCAGCCCTGGAGGGTGTATTTCTAAAATAAAGTGTTTTGGATTTCTCAAACTGTTTAAATATCATCTAAAGATGTTTTATGCACATTTTGAAAAGCATAAAATATACCAAATTTTCAAATGTCAAGAAAGATACTTTCTGCTTTTAATTCTTGGGGCCTTTCTTTAAGGTTTCTACATTTTCTGGTTTATTGTTAATGATCTGTTTATTCTTTGCCAAATATGTATATAATAACTTACTAAGTGCTTTCATGTCCATTTCCACTTAATCATCTAATTTGTGAAATAATTTACATTCTGTATTCTTTGGCTTGTGAAAATTATATAACCAAATCACTGTCATTAGAATGTGTATGTTGAGTTTATGTTCAGAAATGACTGTGCAAGTTTGTTCAAAGCCAGCCATACTCTGATGCACTTTATAACCAATTCCAAACCTTTCTAAGATGGCTTTCTCTTGTTCAGGTCAGGAATATGACCAATAAAACATTTTCCTCCTTATGAAGCTATTATATTCAGTCCATATGCTCATTAGCCCTTGCTAATGAACTAAATAGTGTAGCTACAAGCATATCCCCAATGTTTCTGGATTTGTTAATGTGCAATGCTGATTGGAATTGTTCTTCCAAAAGGTGCCGGGGCTAACATATGTCAGTATTTGTTAGCTCTGGGCTCTCTTTACAATGCTTGGAAGACACTAGGTATGTGCCAGCTTGGTGTAAGCAAATCCTTAGATGCTTGGGAAATCATGCCATTTACTACCAAACACATTTAAAGAGAAGAGAGGTTTATTTGGACCTCAGGAATAATGGCACTAGCCAAAGACTTTTGTTCCAGGCTGAGCCCCCTCACTGTACCAGAAAGATGGTCAGCATAACGTTGTCTGGTTTTTATATTGGACATTGCTAGTTTCTATTATACTCCTTCGAATATAATTTTTTTTTTTTTTTTAAAGACTATACTACTTTACTTTTAAAATCCATTAAAGAAGGGGAGGTATCACCTGTTTCATAGGACATTTAAAACTCAGGCGTTCAATAACTTTACGTATCAAACATAAACTGTTAACTTATTACATAATTAAATTATAACCTGGTACTTCTGAATTGCCAACTGATAGCTACAAACTATTTTCGAAGATGGCTGAGGATTTAAAATACATAATTTTAAAGGTTAATCAGTAAAATCTCTTAATTGATATCCCAGATCACTATGTGCCTGAAAAAATAAAAGGTAATATTTTATTTTCCTTTTCTCTTCTCTTTTCTTTCTTGCCCTTTATAATTTAATGAATGTACAGGAATGTCCTTTGGGAGGGGATGATTCTGGGCGAAGAAAGATGTCCTCCTGAAAATGGGAATGCTGGTCATTGACTCTATGTGGGCAGCTTGTGCTTATAACAGAGTCCTAGTGGAAAAACGATTCTAATGTCTTATGTTGGTACTAGTTCTTCACTGTTTTTTTGCCCCATAATAATCCTAAATCATGAAATATCACTCGCTAGTCTCAAGTCATTGCTAGTCTTTTTTCCCAGGCTGCAATATTATTTATGATGCCTTTGATAATGTCAAGGGAATTTGGCCAATCTAATTTCCTGCTAATCTCTACTTTGTTTCCTTGAGGGCACATCCAACTGCCATAAAACTTTCGTCTTGGCACCCAGGGTATTACTTATTATTTGTAGCAGATCCAGTGCTTTTGCTTGTATACCTTTAGTTAGTCAGTTTGGGTCAAAACTGTCTGCTAGCACACAAAATAGGCCACAAGGGTGTAACTTCAGGCTGCAGACTGCTTTCAGTTGGGGAAGTACATGAGTGAGTGAGTTTGTGATATGGTGGTGCTCATTACTACTCAAGATTCCTGCCATGCTCACTCTCCTTGGCCAAGGGTGCTTTAGGGAACTCATTTGTTGTTGTTGTTATGTGCCGTTGAGTCAGACCCAACTCACAGTAACCCCTCCTTGGGTTTCCGAGGCAATATCACTACGGAAGTAGATTGCCCCATCTTCCTAGCATGGGTAATAAATCCACTTCTCACTTAGCGACATAGTTGGGTTCCAAACACCAGGTAATTATGTGAAAATAAGCATTTTGCGAAAATGCAGGATGACCACATCAGATCACAAAATGGAGGATTACTGTCCCATTACATAACTGCCAAACCATGAGAATCATGGCCCAGCCATGTTGATAAGTAACTTTAACCATCACAACCAGCCTCACTCTCGCCTTGCACCTTGGCAATTGTTACTGCTAGATGTACGTCATTAATGCATGAAATAGTTGAATAGTAGATTTTTTACTGTTGTGGTAAATGTAAAATGTTAGATAATGAGAGAGTCAATAAGTGAGGAGCTGAGATTATATATATGTGTGTGTGTGTGTGTGTGTGTTTGTGTGTAGTGCACTGTATTAATAGTGAAGGAGCTCTGGTGGCACAATGGGTGAGACATTTGGCTGCTAACCAGAATGCTGGCTGTTCAAATCCACCAATTGTTCTGCAGAAGGAAGATGAGGCAATCTGCTTTTGCAAAACTTTACAGCCTTGAGAACCCAATAGGGTCATTATGAGTCTGTATCAACTTGATGGCAGTGGGTGGGTGGTGTTAGAGTGAGCTAAATATGATTGTCTTAGTTATATAGTGCTGCTATAACATAAATACCACAAGTGGATGACTTTAACAAACAGATACTTATTTTCTCACAGTTTAGGAGGCTAGAAGTCCAAATTCAGAGTACTGGTTCTAGGGGCAAGTTTTCTCTCTTTGTTGTCTCTGAGGGAAGGATCTTGTCTCCTTTCAACATCTTTAGGCCCAGTGTTCATTGGAGATCTACATGTCTTGGCATCATTCTTCTCCCTGGGTCTAGGAGGTTCTCAGCACAGGAACACACTCTGTCCTTGGCTTTTCTTTCTTGGTGGTAGGAGGTCTTTCACTCTGTGCTTTCTTCTCTCTTTTATGGCTTATAGGATAAAAGGCGGTGATGCTAGCCACACCCCAGGGAAACGCCCCTTATGTCAGATCAGGGATGTGACTTGAGTAAGGGTGTTGCATCCACCATAATCCTCTTAAAACTGATTGGCTAATCACATCAGGGAGGATGATTACATCATTACATAACTGCCAAATCACATCATTATGTAACTGCCAAACCACAGAGAATCAAGGCCCAGTCAAGTTGACACATATTTTTTTGGGGGGACACAATTCAATCCATGATATTCCATCCTTTGCACCTCACCCACAAATTCACATCCTTGCCACATGCTAAACATTTTTACCCCATCATATCATCCCAAAAGTCAACTCCAAGTCCAAATTCCATCTTGTGGCAAAATTCCTCTTCATCTTTGAACCTGTGAAATCTAGAATACAAGTTACCTGCTTCCAAAATACGATTGTGGAACAGACACAAGCTAGACATTTCCATTACCAATTGGAGACACGGGAGGGAAAGAAGGGATAAGAGGCACTGAGCATATGAAAAACCCAGCAGAATAATTTACACTAGCTCTCCAGGCTTGAAAATAATCCTGTTCTCTGAAACTGTCTAGGCAGTGGCCCTGCCCTCCATATTCTGGATATTGGCCATGCTCTCTTGATTCTTGCTTCACCTTCCAGGCCCACTGGAATGGCAGCGCTGTTCCTTCTGCTTTGGGGGCCCCATTCTCCTAGTCTGAGTGGCAGCCCTACCCCCTTGGTCCTAGCAGGGCCTGTTCTCCTGCCCCTTGGGCATGGCAACCCTTCCTCCTCAGCTTTTGGCAATAGAATCACCAGCATCCCTCTGGCATTCAGTAATAGCATCTCTACACTCTGGAGTTGGTGAAGATCTGACTGTCTGAAACCTGGCAGACTGTAGTCCCACCCTTTGAATCCCCAGAGGTTGTAACCCTACCCTTTAAGGTTGAGGTGGCTCTGCTTCTGAATATGCTCCTTGTCTCTTCAGCTGCTTCCTGGTTCCTTGGCCCCTTGGC